TTAGCAGTACATTCATAAGAAATAAACTACAGTTTAAATAAATATGTGATGTCACAGAAATAGTTTACTAAAACTACAACAAAAGTGACAATATGAATTAGTGGTAATGGCAACAGCAAATAAGTGGGAGAGAACAACTCACCTTTTTGCTGATGACTGTGTGGTCTATCAAAAAATCCAGTCATCAGTACATGTAGATAAGCAGTTATTTCAGAAAGATCTTGTCACTTTGACTGAGTGGGCAAAAGCATGGGAAATGAAATTTAATCTCAACAAGTATACCACTGTGCGCATTTCTAGAAAGAGGAATATTGCCAATGCAAACTACTACATTTTAGGAACCAATCTCAGGGAAAACTTTTATCCAAAAATAATCTAAACTGGAATGGTCAAACTGTACCTGCTGTAGCAAATGCCACTCATATCCTTAATTTCTTTCAAAGGAATTTTTACTCTGTATCCAAAAGTGTTAAGGAAAACTCTATTCAAACTTGGTTAGATCTCATTTGAAATTTGGTAGTATAGCATGGAAGTCTGTATACCAAAAAGATATTAGTCTACTGGAAGGTGTGCAGAGGTGTGCTGCTCACTTGGTGTGCAGCAACTACCCAAGAAAGAGCAGTGTGACCAATATGCTTACTGATCTTATTTGGGGGACACTTAAACAAAGACAGAAAATGAATCAGCTCACCTACTTCTACAAAATTATCAATGATGAAATTCCCATCAAACTAGATGCCTGTTTACCAAAGACAGCTAGATAGTGGAGAGTAAACAGCTCCCAAATCTCTAAAACTGCAGCCACAACTTACTCATTTTTATGAAAGATTGTTTGAAAAGAGAACCCTGAACCATCACAAATTGAAAGAGTTAATTTCAAATTAACGCCTCTTAGTGAGACTTCCAAGTGGAGTATGCAAGACGACAGACTAACCAAGTATCAAGTAAGTACCAAAAACATGCCACTGATTTATTACAGCGTGTTTGATTTTTTATGTGAGGACTAAAATCTGAATATTCAAATAACGATAAATATCTCTTCTCTAAATTGAAATTTCAAAACTGAATATCTGAAACCAAAGGGGAAAAATTCAGAACAGCCTTATTGTGTGAAAGAATTTCAAAATTTTTTGAGATTGTTGACATTCAAAGGAAAATTGTAGTTAGACATACAACATTTTTCACCACTCAGGTTTCACTGACCAAAAGTGGATCTGTTTCAACAATGCCTGAATGAAACAATGGAAGGATATCAAGGACAGGTTGGAACATGTATGTTGATACTGAATACAAGGAAATTCAGCCAGCATGTTTACGTGATCAAATTAGATTTGAGCAAATCATGTCTTTTTTGTTTTTTTTTTTCATGAAAAAGATTCTGACACCAACCTGTGGTGTCTGCATTCACTCCAAGACGAATCCCAGGCTGATGATCAGTACCACACAAAGAAATTGTTTGGCAATTTCTAGATTTGCCTTTGAGTCAAACAGTAACAATGGCACTAGCATCCTAAAGAAGTTGTGCATGGCAGCCATATTTCCGGTAAGAGCTTTTATTCCACAGGGATACACATGAATAGATCTTTTGTGCTATCCCTCCATAACAAAAGCAGTTAGATGGCTGTCATGCACAACCCCTATCAAAACTGTTTTATATCCCCACTTTATGACATACATGTAACTGGCCTTATACCGAGTATAAGGGCATGGCTACCGCTAAAGACAACTGGCATGCGTAATATTATTCTGATATAAAGTTTAATTGAATACATATGAGAATTTTCAACAATCAGGCACAATCTAATACAGTACATTACATGGCCGCAGTTGATCTTCATTGACTTCTTATTGCATGCTTTTCATAAATTCGTTATAGATCGTTCAAAGGGCTTGCATACACATACATGTACACACCCCATATACACATACATGTTTGTTATACCACGTTCATAGATCGTGAATTTTTATTGTTTGTGAATTGATCATGTGATATACTACAAGCGCGCATGTATCATTCACGCGTCAAGTGCACTTTGCAATGTTGCCGGGCCACAAAAAATGATGGATAACAGTGATCTTTCCCAATGTCGATGTGGCGTGTGTACTGAGTTGTAATTGTGCAATCTTGGATAGGAGAATGGATAGCTATGGTGGTACTGCATGCCAATTATTGTAGGAGATGTGCATGCCCATGCTACTCTCTTCACTCTGACCATGAGGGAGACTAATGGGTTATTAAACTTCTGTTAGTGCACCCAGCTATGCTCATGGAACACTAGTATGCTCTGATCACTGTTTCTGCTGTGATTGCAGTTGCTGTTTATAAAAAGCTCATGCTAGTGTCTCTTCTCGTCCACTCTTCTTGTCATTTATTTTAAACAGAATTTGGTGTAAATAAAGTCTTGAAATTCAACCAGTCAACAAAAACCCCTGTGCTTTATGAATCCCAGGTTTCTCTGTAACCCAGTTTGTTATAAATTCTAGATTTCTCCCCCTTCCCTCTCCCCCAGAAAAACAAACAAAAACATAGGTCAACAAAGGACATCACAATTAATAATTTTCCCTGTAATTAAATATCTCATCGGCA